CAATTTATATGCGTTGTGTTTTAATACTCTGTGGTCACCTAATACCCTGGACCAGAGCGCTTCATGCATAATTCTCAGATATAAACCGCTTTGGTCTCGATCATCTAATATCGGCCTGTCGGACTACGGTGGTTTTTGATGATTGATGGCACAAAAGTTCCACAAAGTCGGTTACAATACCGGCAGTCTGCTTCTGGGGAGTCAAACAGTAGGACTCACATACTGTATCGTCACAGGGTTGAGGCAGGTCACAGAGTTTGTGTGATTGAAATCATGTGCAGCCAACACTAAAAGAAGACAATATTAAGGCGTAAATAGGTGAAATAAACAGTATATTTACAGTAAAAGTACAAAATATGAATTCAACATTGAACAAAGAAGTCCAACAGCAATCACAGAAAGGTTATACTAGTATACAAGGCTGTACCCGAATCTGAAGAATTCAAATAAGATTTGGCAGTTTGAAACAAAGATTCAACTATACTAAAGATTAAAGATTTCTTAAGCTATTAACTAAATCATATGACTGTACTATGATGAAACACATCAATGCTGGTGTTAATATTGACATTTCTTACCAAATGTATAAAAATAGTAATTTCATAGTTTAAAATTGCTCAAAACGGCGATGGAGTCCACTGTTTAGGGATAATCTACGTCATGAAACCGAAGAACGCCCTGAAATCAGACCCCGGCTGATCGGATTTTTATGCTGTGTCATCACTATTCATATAGTGTTCATATATAGTGTTCAACATATTCATATATGTTCATATATTCATATATCCAATGTGTTTGTGAATGAATTGTTTAATAAAGCACAAAACTGTTTACAATAGCAAAAAGTACTTCATAGATATAGCCTCTAAAAAAAAAAAAGGCGACAGCTCTACTTGAAGACTTTCTAGCTGACCGAGGGGACACCGACAGATGATTCAACTTTCACGAGGCAGCCTTACTAGCATAAATACGAGTAAAGCTCCAGCCAAAAACCAGACCCAGCCATGTGCTGCATGGATATCTACAATATCACCACTGGCCAGATTTCTGCTCTGTACTGCAGCTTCCATTAGACACACACACACACACACACACTCCAGAAATGTGCAAGAGAATGCACACAGATTGCTCCCACACAGTGGAGGAAATTATTCCCGGAAAGCAGGGGTGATTATTGCTCTAACAAGACCCCGGGGAAACGCTGAGTGGAAGTTAGGGGAGCGAACATTGTGAAAAGGGTTGAACATTGTGAAAAGGGTTGAATAAGACCAGGTGTGTCTGTGTGTTTGGGTATGAGGGGAAAGTAAGAGAGACAAGGAGAAAGTGACTAATTCATCCGAAAACCCGGAAATGAGTTAGCAGTTTTGCTCTTACGGTTCCCTCGTCTAAAAGTCATCGGGTTTTGTTCCACAACATAAAATATTTTGCTTAAAAAAGGCGTTTGCCAATAAGTGGCTAAATGAGACCATAAAACGTCATCAGGTAGAACACTAGTCCGCCGTTAGCTGAGTGGATGTGTGTTTGTGTTTTAATGCACATGACTAAACCTCTTTTTGTGTCCACGTGTGCATGTGTGTTTATCAGTGTTTCCAGATCCACGGTAATCAGTTGTGCTAAACCGCTCTTACACGAAGCCAAAGTCTCAAAACAATGACCTCACATTCTGTCGCCATAGCCACGCTGGCCATTATCCCAACAGCAACGAACCCTGTTGTTTTGTTTACAGGGTTTTTAGGTCCATTGGGTGGACACACAGTTGACATACGGCGGCCTTTTAGCATCCTGATATTCACCCGGTCACTGAAATCAATGTGTTCAGCTTCACTTCCAGTTTCTGTTAAAAAGTTCAATGATGTTACTTGGCGACAAAGTAAATTCCAGCTTGTAAAGTTTTTGGGATAATATTTCTTGGCAATGAAAGTTGGTGCCTGCATATAAAAAGGATTCTAATCCGTTTCACAACCTTTATTGATATGAAACACCAGTGAGGTTAGTAGGTGCAACCAAGGAAAAGTATTGTTCATGTTTTGAATTGTGTAAAAAAAAAAAAAAAAAAAAAAAAAAAAAACACACAATGAGCAGCATTCTACAAAACCTTTCATTCTGCAAAAGGTCATCTCTCCAATTGTGACACTTCAGTGCTCAGTTCATATGGTCTCTAACCCTTTCACTGCCTTAACAGGATTAACAGCAGGAAGTACAGGTTACTCAGGACGCTTGCTTATAGATTAAATTAAATGTTAATCGACCAAAGCAAACATCAGTATGTGTGAGATATTGGTTACAGGCGTGCCAATGAGTTTTGTCAATTAGTAACCGAATTTCCACATTGTGATGACGATAAACGTCTGATTTCTTAATGCTTCAATGAGATAAAACCTTTATGTATCATTAAAGAAGCATTCGGTCCCAGATGAACACAGCCGCCATGAAGCCAGTTTGACAGCCAGATGTAGAGTTATAGCATATTGAGATCTGCTCAATCCACACATCATCGTTATTACCACTGATATACACACCCACACACACACACACACACACACACACACACACACACACACACACACACACACACACACACACACACACACACAAGCTCCCCAGCACAATATGTACCCACATCCTCAACTCCTACTGCAGTTGCAGCAGACAAGTACCAGACTCACCTCTTTGGCCAGAGGCCCGCGTGGTGTTTCCTCACGTATATTCTCTTAGACCCTCCTCCCAGGTTTTACAGCTTCCTTCCAAACAACATACGACTGCTCATTTTCCTACACAAACACGCCGTCATCTCAGACCGGCTCCAGCGCGTTCCTAAATCAAGACCTGCCTTTACGTTTACAGTCATATGCTGAAAAGAAAAAGCAAACGTTCACGTCACAGAAGTTACGCATCACCACAGAAGAGGCAATAATGAAGTAACTATGGATGCGTTTGTGCTGTAGTATCATTAGCACGAGACGGGGCAGATAGCGGTTACAAGTGATTCCAAGTGATTCATGGTGCTATCAGCAGCTGTAATCCGTTCTTTGTGAATCTGCCCCTCAGTGTGAAGCTGGATCTTGAGCGGGGATTGTTTTGTCTACTGGCAGGTCGACCCATCTCAATGTTACTAAGATACCTACTACGACTACCACCACTCATAAGAAGCTGATTGATCCCTGTGTGACAAGTCAAGGGTCAGAACAACAGACCTGGACTTGGTTGGGACTGAGGGTCTTGATACAGGACACAGCAACAGTGTGGATGTCTGCAGACACGGGAATATAAAGGACGTTTTTTCTAGTGAACGTGACACCCTGCTGCCTTCTACCGTGATGATACCAGAGAATCCACCTCATAAATTGAGCCAGCAATACTCCAGAGTCCCAGGGACCAAAACTGAAAACCACCCGTTTCAGCTCCATGGCTCGCGCTGCTTCGTTCCCTCAAACTTTACGAGGGCGGTGAGAGTTAAGTGCGGTGAGACTTTAATGTCACTGACTGAGAGCAGACTGGACTCTGCCACCTCCAGGTTCAGTGGGTCAAGCACCACACCCCCGGCCTCCACACACACACACACACACACACACACACACACCTGAGAGATTAAAGAAACACAACACAGGATCTGTGAGAAAACAGCAGCTGTTATCGTGGCTGCCTGTAGGTGTGTTAGTCACAAATCACACGCTGTAAAACACTCCAAAGACACTGCATCGTCTGTTCATGTCAGGCCTCAGAGTTATATAACGCACATGTGAGCACAAACACTTCATGTTTGTAGCGATGTTTGTTTTCATGACTTTCTTTAAAGTACTACTTGTGGTTATTTGTGGAAAATGTCTAAGGAACGCAAAACATTACAGCAAAAAAAGATTATAATCTGTTGATTATGTGGTGTGAATAGAATGCACAACTGAGTGCGTTACTATGGCCATCGCTTTGAATATAAAAGTGAGGTTTGACACATTGTTGTGGCTACAAAGTTAAGAGCTTTTAGTAGAAATACACCTGCCTGAACATCCTGAAGCTCTAATGTCACACTGTACAGTCAGCAGCGGACATGCAGCCTTTGTAATGCAACAACAGAGCAAAGTCACATTCATGCTTTCACAATATCAACAATGTCAATCATTTCACAATGCTCATTGAGTGTCCACTGCATCACCACTAAAGAGATTTCAAATAATTAGTTCCTGCAACTGCATTTAGATATAGAACGATTAGTCAATTTAATTAAATCAAGAGAAAATGCATCCAACTACTTGCACATTCATTTTTGCTACTTTCCTCTATTTTATATCATTGTAAGTTGAAAAGCGTTGGGTTTCAGACTGTTGGTCGGACAAAATAAGGAATTTAAGACGTCACTTCAGGCTCTGGGAGGCATCTTTTCTTATGTTAGATAAATAAATGAATTTTTTAATCAGAGAAATAATCAGCAAATCAGTCAATATGGAAAATAATTCATTACAGCTCATTGTATTAAATGGTAAATGTATGTTTGTACAGTTTTAACAAAATAACGACTAAAAGAAGTGAACTGCTGCCTGTGTGGTAGAAAACATGATTGGATCTTGTAGCTCAGCTGCAATTCAAAAACCTGACCAAGAGAAGTTTAGATAATTCTAGAAATAATACATTATAAGCCTCATTAGCCATATATGTAGGTATAGAGACCCAAGGTATCGTACTGTGAAATGACACTCTACCCACAGAGCTGCACAGGACCACTGGCAGTGCATCTAGAACTGCTGAACACATTAGCCAGTCAGTGGGCTAAAAAGACTAAGAGCGAGGAGGAGGCAGAACCAAAGTCAAAGGGCAAGAAGGGGGCAGGGAAGTCACTGACAAGCTGATAGAACGTACCGACAGAAATGTAAAGAGGGGAGTGGAGCAAGAAGGGGAAGGAGGGGGAAGAAAAAGGGAGAAAGGAGGTCTTCCTCCTGGAAGACATAAAAAGGCGAAAGAGGACTTGGAGGCTCGCAGTCCCTTCTCTCGACAGCCATATCCACCACTCTCCTCTCCCCTTGTCCTCACCTCCAGCCCTCCTCTCCACTCATCTGCTGCAACCCTCCATTCATCCGGAACCCTGAGCAAAGTCAGTGAGTAGCTTCTACAGCGCGTCTTCATCCTGTCGCCACATGACTGCACAGAGATGCTTAGATCAAAGGAAATGTCAGCAGTGTTATAAAGGGATACCAAGTATGCATGTGTAATTTACAGGAAATTATTTCTGTAACGGGGGAATCGCATGCAATCATACTTAAGCAAAAACTAATTTGGATGACTTAAGCAAAAATATGACAAGGTAGTGTGGATGCAAAATATTTTATACGAATACTGAGTGTTTTAAATACATCCTGCTCTACTTCTATGACAATATTTAAACTGCAATAGCACCCAGTTTCATTTATTAAAAATGATTAAATTAAGAGGGAATCTTTGTGAGATTAGCAAGTCTACACATTGTTTTAGCATGCATTACGCAAAATGTGAAATATTAAGTGGTCTACTTGATTAAGAAAACTGCATTTCACACTATGTGCATGCTGTTCATGTATATACCGTTTAAAAGCAAATGATGCGCTTCATTGACACTGAATGTCCCAATGGGGAACATTTAGCACTTCATTAATCAGAGACTGTCCAAACATATTCATGAATGACTTTTTAATCATACTGTTAAAAGAGAGGAACTTGAGAGAAGACTAGTCAGAGTTCAGGGAGGTTGCAGGATGAGGAAGATATGATGACGTATCCAAAGTTAGGAAAGTTTGCCGACACAGCTTTATTCTTCAAGAGCTCACCAGACAGTAACTATGGACACAACAAACGCCAAACTTTCCTTACTTGTGTCCTAATTGATGCAAGATTGCCATCTGCCAATCCTAAACTGCTTAAGTGCGTTTACAAGTCTAAACAGTGGAAAAAAACAGTTGAGGTTTAATCGAGAAGTTTCCCCTCTGACTCACATGCCCCACTTGTTAAAATTCAAAACTGATGCTGCAGCCAGACGCTTCGCCCTTTCACCAGTTCTCGTCATGTACCAGATCTCACAGTGGAAGGACAACTGTAAGTATAGACGTCAAAATGAATGGGGCAAACGGTAACGGAGTGCAAAGCTTTTAAATGCATTTAGTAAGGTAATTCCTCAGAATAAAGACGTTTATGTTAACAGCTGGTACATCCTGAATCAGACCAACAGAAGAGCAGAAAGCATGGAAAAGTGTGTAATACGTGGTGATTACACTAAACATTACTGCCTTTTCTCCCTTCCTTGTCCTCCCTTGCATCCTTCAGATTCTTCATCCTCCCCCAAATCAGACTTCATCATCATGGACACCACAAGGAACATCCTCTCCATCTCCAAAGCAGTCTACCACCTGATCGTTGTGATGCTGACACTGGGCCAAAGCATTCATTCAATGCCTGTTCCTACTGAAGGCCCCATGTGCACAGCCTCAGAAACAGCCCAGTACAAGCTGACGTTTTCTGGCAAGTGGACCCATGCAGCTTTCCCTAAACAGTACCCGGTCTACCGTCCCCCTGCACAGTGGTCAAACATCATTGGTACGTGCACAGCGAGCTGGTTTTATACTGTATTCTCATTAGTCACAGTGTTGGCAGCAGACGTGGAACAGTATAAACAGGTAGCTAATGTAGAAAACTACATACAGAGAAATGTATAGTAAATACAGAAGAATGTCCCGATTGGTCAGAACACAGGTAGTCAATGGCAAAAGATTTCTCCTATTTGTTAAAAGGGTTAAAAAAAAAAAAAAAAAAAAGAAGCATACTAATAAATGTTTCTTCCCATTAAATGCCACTAACATAATTTCCCTCCCTCTCTCCGCTTTTAGGTGTGACCCACAGCTCTGACTACCACATGTGGCAGCGTAATGGCTTCGCCAGCAACGGAGTGAGGGAGTTTGCAGAGAAAGGCGAGGCCTGGACGCTCATGAAGGAAGTCGAAGCGGCCGGCGAACGCATCCAGAGTGTTTATGGGGTCCTCTCCGCTCCCGCTGTTGTGAGAGGCACAGGCCAGATGAACACTGAGTTTGAGGTCTTCGCCAGGCACTCTTATGTAAGTCTGCCAACACCTGGTTTCCTTCAGTCTGGGTCAGGGCATCAAGTGTATTAAGAGGCCTTCCGTGTAGGTCAGCATGTATAACAAGGTGGCGAGATGCTTTCCTCAGCCGAGGTGAGAGGGCCACACTACTGGCAAAAGTAAATCATAAAAAGCATTCGATTATGAGAAAGAGCCGTATGTGCTTTTCTTAAAGTAGATTGAAGCAGCAAAACGGTAAATGTTACGACAGCTCCAGACTGTTCTTTCCATGTGCTGCACCCTAAAGAGCTTCCGGAATGTAGCGAGCGTAATTTATGTCTCTACGAATTATGTAAGACTCTGCAGGATTTGGCGGTTAATCTTCCAACTGATGAGCCTCTTGGTAGGTCATTAAATCGGGGACACGTCTGACCACAATGTTAGGCTTGGAAAAGAGACGAGACAGAGCGAGTGTGCGAGAGTGTGTCGTCGAGGTGAGAGAAATGAAAAAAGGCCATTTGGAAACAGAATCTGTACTGTGGCGCTTAAATAACAGCAGGTGCAGGGAGGTCGTTGAGTTATTGGCCTACGAATCTAAGTATGATGATATATGCTTGAACGCGTTATAACACAGTGAAAGAAATTTGATATACATATCAAATATGGTTGATATAAAGGGGAACTATACACATCATGTGTGAAAAGCTGCTTAAAGTATTTTGCAGCTCCAGAGGGGGCTACACATAGTCTGACTAATTGCCTCAAGTGATGTCACATGAGTCAGTGTCGGTTGTAAATTTTAAATTAATTGAGATACATTAAGGGTATACATTGATAAACATGAGGTATGTGCATTTTAGCTTTTATTTCTAATTGTAATTTCTACTGAATACAATTTCAACTCAAAAAAACAATTTCCTCCTTTGTGGCTCTAACCCACTGTCCAGTTACCCAATGACAAACACAGACCAAATCATATATGGTGACGTAGAATAACAACCTTTTTCTATTCTCTTTCCCACCAATGTCTTTCCCATCTCTCACTCCGTCCCACCACCTCATTTCCCTCCCCCTCTCTTTTTTCTCTCCCCCCTATGCTCCATCTCCCTCCTTGCGGTCTACTTCCTCCTCTTTATCTGCAGCTGTCGTTTATCGTGCGCCTCGTTCCAAGCCCGGACTGGTTTGTGGGCGCGGAGAGCGTTGACCTGTGTGACGGCGACCACTGGAAAGACAACGTGTCGCTGGAGCTTTTCCCATACGACGCAGGAACCGACAGCGGGTTCACCTTCTCTTCTCCCAACTTCGAGACCATCCCACAGGACAAAATCACACAGGTGGGTCAGCCTGAGCCAAGACGTGCAATACCCATCAATCCAAAGCCAAAAAAAATAAATCACTAATCGTATGAACACACACATGAACCTAACGTTGCTTGATAAAACCTTGTCCGTTCCCCCTCCATAGATCACTTCTTCCTTCCCCAGCCACCCTGCCAACTCCTTTTACTACCCCCGCCTGAAGCACCTGCCGCCCATCGCAAAGGTAATGCTGACTAAGATAAAGAAGACCAATCAGATCATCAGCCTACCTGTGGAGCCCACCCAGTCCAAACAACTGCCAACAGGAAACGAGATTGAGGACAGACTCATAAGTAAGTCTGAGCAGCAAAGACACTCGCACCGGCTAAAATGTGGGATGTTGATGATTATAAGGCACTTGCATGATGAATTGAATGGTGCCGTTATTATGCTTACTATACATATTGATGGAGGTGTGTTATTGAGTAACAGATTAATATGTTTAAAAGGCTTAAGAGATACCGAAACACTGCACAGTTTAGAACAGTAGTAATAGACAGGACTCTACAGCTCTGGGAAGTTATCACAACAGCAACAACGTTAGCTATTGTTAGGACAGTCTCAAGTTAAACAATAGAAATGTTTACATTACATATTTGGATGTGTGCGATTGGCCAATGCAACGTTTTGTCAGATGATGTCGCATGGCAGGAAAAGTTGTATCGGGTTCAACTTTTTTGTCGGAAAACCTCGTTTGCCAGAGTCCACTACGCTGGCTCCCTCAATGGCTCCATTGAAATGAATGAGAGGGCCGCACAGCCTTAGAACAAAACATGTTATATCTTTAAATGTACCAGTGTTCACACTAAAGTTTCTCTTATATTTCATCCTGAGAATTGAAGATATCCTGTGGAGTCTTTGGCCGCTAGCAGCTCTATGGAACAATGTTTTTAAGAGTTAGTCACCATTTCTTTTTATTTTGCATGGGCACAAAGTGCACACTTGCCAAAAAGGCAGACGATGTTCTACAAAATCCTGCCGCCGAGATTCAAACTATTTGACCGATGAACAGTGGATGACAGTATTGTTCAGATTGTAACAATGCGCCAGAAAAGGCTACAAGCTAGCATTCGTCCTCAAAGATACACGGAATATAAACATAATACTGTTTGTCTACTAGAAAACACCACAAGGTACCAGGCCAAAATATTCAACAGTAAAACTCACTCAACTATGAATATTTTGCAGGTAATATATCTGCCTCTCTCCGTTCTACTTGCTCTGATTGAGTAATATACATATAAAAAAATTAACATATCTAAACATAAGCTGAAAGTTAAGAGATGTAGGATTTCACACAATGCTAGGAGCTTGGGTCTTAGTCTTTTGTTGACTCAAATGAAAGCATTTGGGAACCATTACAGGCCACACACAAACTCAATAACTTGCAACCAGAAACCAGAGAAGCCAAGTGGAGCAGGGCATCAGAAAGTGCCAGAGGTACATGTGGCATCCAGTGGAAAACTCTAATGACGCATTTAAAGAAGAATGATGACCTATAAAATTCTGCACAGAAAGGTTGTGGTCGTGACTCAAAATAGGATGCAGACACGTATGTTTTTACAAGATCTGGATCCATAAGGTGAAGCTGGGTTTGTTTAATGTTGGTTCCCACACTGTTAACATTTAAGACTCTCTGTTGTACAGATTAGTGGTAACAGTAAAAGAAAAAGCCCAACTGCAGGTAAGAATTGAAGGCTTGGAAAAATTAAGATGAAGAGTGTGTCAAACTAGAGGGAACGCCAACAATGCAGTAGAGTCAAACAAGCTGTCAGTGTGACTGATGTTCTCCAAGGAGCAAAGAAAATAAGCTTTTATAAAAACATAACTAACCACAGAAACTCTAAGCAGATGACTTGACTGGGAAAAAAGGAAACCGATAGCGTGTTGACCTGCCAGCAGAGCAGACAGTACCTTTAATGTCACCCTGACTTTAAAGGTTTGACTCAGCATCCCAGGATACAAGTCCGTTCCCCTGACTACACATCAACAAACAACAGAGCGAGGGGCCAGGACTCTGTTGGGGTTTCCTGCCTTGATCCCAATGCTCCATCCTAACTCCTCTGTCTGTTTATCTATCCTTCCCTCCCTCCCTCCCTCTCTTTTATGCCTCCTCCCTGGGGCTTGAGCAACAACTTTCATTGCAGGTTATAAAACACCTGCTCCAGACTGTATCTGTTAAATACAAAAAAAAAAAAAGATGAATCCCTTTTGCTTCTTACAGCATAGTGTCACCTCCGTCCTCGGCGGACACACAGAGTGAAGGGAGATTTGACTGGCTTGTTCCATCCCTCCGTCCGCCCGTCCATCAATGTCGCTTCCGCACCGCCGTCCGTCCTTCTGCTTTTCTACTCTTTAACGCTCAACTAAGTCTGTGATACATATCAGCTGTGCGGAAGTTCTCGACAAGGTAGCCCCGCAAGTTCACCATGTTGGAGGAAGAGCAAAAAAAATATAAAGATTATGTAAAGACTTCAATGATATAAGTAGCCAGCAGCAACAAACCACTGCCAAGAACCTGTGGGTTCATAAAGAGCTGCACACGCAGCATGCCACCATTTACTGTAATTCATTTCATTCATTTATACACCTTATAAGGACAAAAGTGATTTTCCCTCATGACTAATTCCTCTCCTTGCCATTCAAACCCATGAATGTAAACTCACAAATGTCAACCACTTCCAAAAAATAAATACTGCATTATGAAAAATTAGGAAAGACGCCCATTTGCAAGGGCTACAGAGCTGCAAAAATGCCGAAGCAAGCGTATATGTCAGTGTGATTATAACCCCCCCCCCTTCTCCCTGCAGATACCCCTCTGGACTGCGAGGTGTCAGTGTGGTCTCCTTGGGGCTTGTGCAAAAGCAAGTGTGGAGACTCTGGCGTGCAGCACCGCACACGCTATGTCATCATGCACTCAGCCAACAGCGGAATAGCTTGCCCCCTGCTGGAGGAAGACAGGAAGTGCTCTTCGGACAACTGTTTATGACTAGGCCAGGAAACGAGGGAGAAGAAAGAGAGGAGAGAGAAGAAAGAGAGGAAATCCAGGAATGGGAGGAAAGGACGAAGACGGAGAAACAACAGAAGAAGGTCTGCGGCGTATGCGCACGAGGCATAAGTATGATGAAGAGGACGCCATTATTATCTGTGGAGATGATTGTCTGACTGTTTAACTGCAGAAAAGGTCTCATCCTCACGTCCCATTGATAGATCTGACAGCACTAGAGCAATGTAGTTTGGCACAACAGCTATTAGACACAAATTTAGTTTTGGCAGATTATCTAAACTGTCTGGGGATAGAACAATGCTGTTTTAAACATAGCTATTAACCGAAAACTCATTTCACATTATAACTTGGTTTTAAGTGGACATTTCTGAAGATCACAGACACAGTGGCTTACAAGAGTCAGCAGAAATTAATGTTCGGTCCTCCCCGCATTCAAAACATAAAGTTCACAGAGACGCTGTGGTGGTTTTTCTAAAGACAAAGAATATATTTATTGACAGGATTTTAACCTGTAGTGTACAGTATATCAAATCTCAACGTAATAATTTGTAGGCCTTTATGTTATAATAGTAGTTTTTTGTAAAAAAAAAAAAAAAAAAAAATGCAAAAGATGTACACAAAAATGTATGTATTATTTTCTGTATGATCAATAAAGTGTAAATATATCTTAAGATATTGTGACCTCATTGGGTATTTCTGAAGAAATATAGGACATCGTGTACAGTTGGGAGTCTTATTGCCTTCACATCACAATCGCAACTAAGAGTAAAACCACATGGACTGAAATCCTTCTCTAGTGCCTCTGCTCAGTGCAATGTTAGACCTCTACATCTGAACAACACGTTCGGGCTACTACCACTGGGGCTGCAGGATCAAATTAAATGTAGAGAGCAATGCTATTAACTGGAGGACCCGGCGGTTCGAGCCCCGCCGTTGGCTAGGATTCCTCCTGATGAGGTGTTGGCCATAAAGTGGATGATTGCACTCACCAACTATTTAAAACAGTTCACCAAATGTTGATTTAGCTCAGGAGGCCTGAAATTTCACAGTGTACTTCCTGCTGTGACGTCCAGTGCAGCACATCCCACTATGGAGGTGGGAGTCCCATTTAATAACAGTTACACGTAAGGCGACATCTTTTTTTCAGAAAAGGTTTCTTGGCAGGACAACGACAACACCTTGCCCCTTCCCACCGAGCAACATAGAACGCGTACTGCAGACGACCGATTCAACAGCAATAAGAAAATAAACATCTGCCGCAAAAGGGAGCTCCTTCCGTTTTAAATGAGAAACAGGAGTCTTCCCTTAACAATAGTTTCATCAGCTTAAGTCTGAGGGAGGTGAAGTATACGCCAAGTATACAGTACTACATGATGAAGAATACATTATGGCGTGTATACAAAACAAATACCAAAAGGGTTTCTAGGAGCTTGTTTTGGTATGCTCAGGATACATGAAAAAGGAGAAAAAATAGCTACTGTGTCCCCGCCACAATAATGTTTATTATAAACAACACACAAGAAGATCAATACTCTTTCCACAGGAAATCTGTTCAAATTGTTTTCAAAATGGGGAAGGGACACACTGTAAGAACTAACTGATAGGTAGCACTATTGCAGAATATTAATGATAGTATAACAAGAGAGACACCATACAAATCCATTGCAGTTTAGAACTGATTCTACTATTTCAATGGCAGGTATATTAAACATGTTGAGTTAGTATTCACACTTTCTGCAAAACTACTGAAGTGTGGGAGGAGAAGGAAAACTGATTATTTGCCGACTTTGAGGAATAACAACTTTTGCAGATGCTAAAAAGGAGACGGATTTATTCTGTGTGCGGGGGTTTACTCTGAAAGTGACCTCATCTAGGGTTTGCATATGGCAACTAGTGTATGTTATGGTTTGGATTACAATTTCCAAAGACATCTGAACTCTCTCTCGTACTGTAGTGACAGACAATGTGACACTGGTAATCCGTACTGCTTAAAAAGGTTAACACCAAAGTTTAAAGGACAAAAAGTACTGTTTAAAGGGTCACAATGCTAGTTCTACTTCCATCTTGGTGTATTATGAGCACACTGTTGGATTATCTGTAGCAAGTATTCAGTCCCAATCAATCGCTATCTTTTGCAGCTTTGCTATTGGCTCCCGGTTTACCCAGTCACAAGTCGACCAGAATGTCTCGTCACACAAAGCAGCACCTGCGAGTTTCCCACACTCAAACTGTTCCCCTCATAGCCTTCCACTTCATGCTATTGGAAATGTCTGTTCGGCTATAGTCGATGAAAAACACCTCAATCTTTAGTTAGAATTTGCAGATTTACAAAAAAACTAAAAGTCAACTTGGACCACAAGCCAAACATCGGGTCACTGTCACATGTATTGTAATTGAATAGCTCATTGTTCACTGAAAATGGGTTTGCGAGGCATTGGCTTTCTCCTCCAGTGTTACCTGATGCTGGCAGCCGCCATGTATTTTGATCTCGGAGAGCAGGAGGAAAAGTGCATCATCGAGGAGATTCCTGAAGACATGCTGGTCACCGGTGAGTCCTGGAGAGGGAATATTCCTCCCGAGTGTCGTTTACAATCTCTACAGAGGTGATGACTGTTGAGTGAGATTTGGAAAACTGTATTGTGAATTGCCACATGATCGTTGAATCACACATTTACGTTATATGTACCACCGTGCTAGCGTGTCTCTTACTTCAGCAAGTGCAAAAGCCATTTTATGTAATGATGTAGCATCTTTGTGATAATGTAAAGAGTATTCCATTCATTGTACACACCACTGATTGCACTCAAAAGTACTTAATGTTTCCTACAATAAGAGAGAAATAAGAGCGTTTGTTCACTTGGGTGACATTTGTTCTAACAGTAACATGTCAAGGAATATATTATATTAAATATTACATTGTGTGTACACAGTAAATATTATGAATTTTAAAGTAAAGCCCAATATGAAAGCTCATTTTTCCCTCTTCATGCTTAATCTACTCCTTCTTACTCATGTTTCTTTCATAATTGTTACGTGACCTGGCTCCAAGGCTGCAACATCAGGGAGACAAGACGAGTGATAAAAGTAATAAATAGACGTTTATTTAATGAACAAATAACCAAACTAAATCAAATGAATGACGCAGCAGGAGAGGAGGTCCTGTTCCAGATGTGGTTTATCTCGCCATCACCACATCAGGCTCAGGTGTCACTCATCAGTGGCCGATTAACATCCTGAGAGAGAAACTGACAGGAAACAGGACCCAGACCCCGAGTGGAGGGGAGGGGTCATCACATAATGACATTGACTACTACTGTGTGAGACTGTGTATGTGAATGCACTCATGTGAGCCTGTGCTTCACCTTCAGGGTATTTCTTGTTGGAGCCTTGGGATCTGAAGGCGTTCTCTCACTCCCCTCACTTCGGCGTCACTGTGACAGTCAGAGACCCGAACACTGAGGTACTGCACTCACTGGAGAAGTTTATCATCAAGCCAGGACCAAACACACACATGTGTGTGTGTGTGTGTGTGTGTGTGTGATGGTACACTACAACACGTACTGGCTGGTTTCTCCATTCAAACCCAAACAAGGATGACATGCATTTCACAGTGTTACTAAAGATCAGTACTGCACGGTTTGAATGTTAAAAACTTCTAAGATTCACAGCATCAACTCACAGCATGAGTGTCATGTTATTAGATAATTGGATCGTTATTACTGATGCAAATTGCATGAACAGATACTGTAAACAGTAATTAAATGTTAAAGCTGGTTGAGGTGGAGTTAATTTAAAATCCGTTTTATACTTTTGGCCAGTTAAATCTGAAACGCAGCATCATATTTTATATGCTGATCACATGTTTTGTTTGTAAAATCTCGACCTGAAACGTAACCTGTAACTTCAGTTATTAAATAAATGTACTTTAAATATTAAAAAAATAAAATAATGCAGTAAAAAGTACAATAATATCGTCTGAAGTGTTGTGGAGTAGAAGTATAAAGTAACACAAAATTAAAATACTCTAAATTGTACTTTAATACAGTACTTGTGATGTTGTTGAACCATAGATGAGGAAACATTGCCCTAACAGAGTCTTTCCTGCTCTCTAGGTGCTGATGTCCAAACGCTACGGTAAATTTGGTAAATTCACCTTCACAGCTCACGCCTCTGGTCAGCACTACCTTTGCTTCCAGAGCAACTCCACAAGGTTTGCTGTCTTTGCTGCAGAGAGACTGGTGAGACCTACGGACACAAACAGTACAAACAAATGTATTTAAAACAGAGGGAAACATGCAGCAACACATACAGTCAAGTCTGTGGATTACTGTGAAGACAAACTTGAGATTTATTTTTTTAAATAACCTTATTTTCCTCCATCGTGCTGCACAGAAGCTACATTTGGACGTTCAGATGGGAGAGCACTCGATTGACCCCAAACCTGACAAGACCAAAAACAACATGGAGATTCTGGAGAACAGCCTCAAACACCTCATAGATCAGATGATGTACATCACCAGCCAACAGGATTACCAGAGGGTAAATCAGTACTTCACTGTCGCGTCTGCAAATCCCATGATATGACAGTACGTGTGAGTACATTGCACAAGACGGAGCTCAGAGGAAAGGGTAGAAGCAGTGTGGTACCTACTGTTATTAAAACAACAGTGTCCGGAAATGATAGAAAGCTAGTTAACAGTCTTCGTTTTTTATATTTACCATGTCAGTGCTAACGAGGATTACCTTTCAGCCTGCATTTAGGTAAGTCATACGTGTTGTATATTCCTTCCTTTCCTTTAGGAGAAAGAGGAGGTGTTTCGTCAGATCAGTGAGGACACCAACAGTAAAGTGCTATGGTGGGCCGTGGTGCAGACCTCTGTTCTGCTGTCGGTTGGTTTCTGGCAGATGAAACGACTCAAAGACTTCTTCATCGCCAAGAAGCTCGTCTGATGATGACCTCTGACCTATCAGCTCTAAGCCTGAGGACCTTATAACATGTCCAGACCTGTATCAGTGTATATACTGTAGACTGCATGCCTTTAAACACTTTAAAATCTAATAGCATGTAGGATTCAAAACTGAGTACACCAACACTGCTTTTAAAATGGTTTTTTGTGTGTATGATCTGTACAATATTGCCAAAAACTACAACATTTCTAAAGGGTTCTTATAAACTGTTTCTTCTATTCTTGAACCCTGTTGCTCTTAAAACCAGACTGCATTATTCTGGAGTTAACGGTAAGCTTGTTTAGGACTGACATCAACACACAACTGTTTATACTTTACACACAAACATTTATAAATATAGCTTAGCTGTTTGAGCCCCCACAATAAGCAAATATGTGCAATGTTTATCAAGACAGAACACACACCAACACTGGGTACTATGTGAAAATAATAAAAGTCATTTGACTAAATGTTTTGTGATTATTAGCCTTATTAGCCTTTTATTGACACATTTTAAAAATAGATAAGTAATAAAAACATTTAGTTAGTCAATTTATTTTATTGATTTGGCTCAGTTCCTTGTCAAAGTTTTAATAGATTATTCAATACTTTGTCTACCACAGATAGCAGTTAACCTCGTAGTTTAGAGATATGTAAATTAGCTAGCAACCCAGTTAGCTAGATAGATGATAACGTTATTTTAGCTCAGCCAGCAATGACTGCCTAACGTTCTGGTAAATATAGTTAAATATAGTGGAGATATTTAATCCAGCTAGACAGACAGTTACATCAGACAAACGCCTGTAGTTTAATGACGGTTTATAGTTTCAACATGAGTTAAAACAGATTAAAAGAGCGGCTCATAACGTTACTCTTCAGAACTCTCACAGATCCGTTATTTAGCTACCTAGCTAACGTAGATAGCGGTTAGCTTCATTAGCAGCGGGATATCCTATACAGTAATAAAAAAAAATGTGCTTAACGTTACTGTAAAACGAGGTGAGCCGAGTTATAAAGTTGTCTTGAACTTAAGATGAATACAGAAACGGGTTTAAAGGCTCAATGAAGGTGGCAGCTGTTAGCCAACATATGCTAACACAACATACCCAACTACCCCTGCTAAGCTACAACGAGTTAGCTTAACTTGAAGCTAACCTCGTGTTCTTGCAGGTCTTCAGATGTCTTACTGGGTCTGCTGCAACTCCTGCTTCCTTTCTCCCAGTGCTGACAGAAAACTGGCTGTCACGACCTGTGGCCATGTCATCTGCAGTGTCTGTTATCAAAAAGGTACAAAGATACAAAACAAATCACTGTTGTGACTGTTTGTTTGGATGTGTTTTAATGGTTCAGCACCATGTCTGCAGGCAGGTTTAAAGTGTGATTAAACAGGGACATCTGTTGGAAGTCAAGGGATATTGCAGAGCTGATGACTCACTTTTACACCAGGTGTAATGTTACTCAACGGTATTGATGGTCACACTGCGTTTAATATTGTTCTTGTCCATTGCTGTATAACAGCAGAGGGAGTACAATCACAGATCGAGTCATATATTTAAATGTAATGAGTGATAAGTGTGAAATTACACTATTCATCAACATTGTTGATGTGGGGAATCTTGAAATACACTCCTGGAAGTCCCTTTAACCCACTTTGGGAGCCTCTAAACATATTCACAAGCCTGGGATGTGTCCCTGATGGGTCTAATATCAAAGCCAAACTCTCAAGAGTTTAATTATATTTTAATTTGCTCTGGGCTAGCTTCCAGAGTTAAACCCAAGGGTTACACTTAATCCATTTTGGGTCTCGTAAGCGCTTTAAGAATCCCTTTTTGTTCAGTTCCTGTGTTGGATGTATGTCGTCTTTTAATTTTGGCCATATATATTTGCAACTTTTCATTCAGGTAAACCAGGCAAGTGTTTGATATGCAGCGCCAAATGCCAAGTATCCCCTCTGTCTGACAAAGTAAGCATCCTTCTTCTCATTGAATGGCTGTGTGGGACAACGTCACACTTTATCGCCGACTGTCTGGTATCATTTTACAGACATACTCTCATCACAGTCGTGTTAAATGTCTTTGTTTCAGAGCAGTTCCGAGGTGAAGGCTCTGTTCTCCGACATCAACTCTGTGGCAACCAAACACATCACGGAAATCAGCAAAGTGTGGTCATTTTCAATCTCATCATAAAATATTAAAAAGTCTGGTTAGCTGTTCTTATATCAGTTCAGTCTGTCTCAACCAGTTCAAGATGATTTGAGTTATATATGCAATATATATATATATGCAATATATTTATATAGACTTGCTGTTTCCTCCTTTTTCTTAGGTTATAAAGTTCCAGGCAAGACATCAAAAGAGACTGCTGAGTTACTACCAGCAAAGGGTGAGAGACATCTGCATTGCTGCCATGTAGTTTATATAAATATAAGTTTATATGAATATAAATAGATATAAACACTACTTACAGTATAATGTAGCCATACCTGCCATACAACTGCATCAACAACCATTTTATCAATTGCAGAATGAGAATTTAGAAGAGGTTTTAGTCAAGATGAAGCAAGAAATGCAGCAGATGGCAAAGTAAGATAAACCATAAGTTTATAGTGCACTTTCATACTTATTTCTAAACTGCAGTTCATAAAAATGTGGGTGCCTTTGTTATTTATTTTGATTTTGTCCCCTTTAAAAGGAAGCTGAATGAACAGAGTGCCTACATCTCTAAGCTGGAAAACTCTCTTCAGCATCAGAGGTACAGCATAGAGTAGATCCTTATATATCCTGACAAATTCATTTTCCAAAGTGTTTGCTATTAAGCATTTGGCTTATGTTTCCCATTCTGTAGACGCTCTTTCCAGCATCAAACTGGCCTAAATGATCTCTGGAGGTATTAAAACCTGTAATGATTTGAAATGAAATGGCCTCTCTGAGTTTGGCAGCACTTTAGCCTCTGAAGTTTTTACAAACCAGCTGGCTGTTATTCCTCTCTGCTCAATAGGTGTCACTTCTGGCACGTCTACATCAGTACTGCAGCTAAGTCCTTTTTAAACATTCTGTAAAACACAACCTAAAGGTGTAAATACTGGAAGAAAAAACTCCTAAAACCTAAATTCTGATATAAAAATCATTTGTCTGGCTGAAACGCAGCTTGAAGGAAGAAGAGTCCTCAACTTCTCTCATTCCAGGATTCAAACCGACAACTACGTTATTAGCAGCTACGTCTGATCAGCTGATTAACCAAGTTTACTACTGTTTCACTCAGTGCCAAAGTGTCATTGGTGCCGCAGATGAGCCACAGTTCCTACACTCCGCATGGACAAAAATCAGGTAAAAAACAATTTCATCATTTTGTGTCACTTTTGTATTGGTGATTGCAGACAGTGTTATATTGGACTCTACTCACAGCGGGGCTGCAGTCGAGCCTAAGTGTGTCCAAAAACACAGAAAAATTCCTTTTCAGTATTCTTCATGTTGTCTTACTGTTGTTCAAAGTAAGATGTGTCATAACTTCAATCACTCAATACAGTCCTTCGGATTAAGAACATGTTGAAATGTGATAGGTAAAGAAAGTAATGTAAGTTTGCCAAAAATGTTGCATTATTTACTAAAACTGAGTATTACTCCAGCCAAAGACGACAAAAAACACTCACTGTGGGCTCAGAAAAAGAGGCAAGTTGGAGATAATAAAAAAGGTATTTTGAGACTAGACAAGTATTACGAATACAAAAAGATTACATTTCAAAAACTGCACCAATCAAGACTACTACTTGTTCTACAAAACTCTTTTATGAATACCAGTAAGAAAAAAGACAAATTAGGCCGCTGACTGAGCATGAAACTGGATCACTTTGTGGTCATATCACTGAACCGTGTATTTTCATACATTCCCGGTATGACCACTAATCATCATTAATAGAGTTTGGTGGTTGTTAATGTTGTTTCTCTTGTTTGGTATCAGTCCTACAGATCCAGTATAACTCCCCCATGTCCCTCTCAAGACACTCCTCAACGACTAATATGTGAGTATCGGCCCACACCGTATCTCTGAGCATCTCTTCCCCTCGTGTTTCTCTTTGCTCTGCACTTCATTACTGCCTCACCATAAGAGAGAGAATGTAGGAGGTATTTCACAGTGCAAACAAGCTATATCCTGAGCTCAGCCCCGGCGTCTTATGTTAGCTTTAGCTGCTGTGTAGCTTTGCCGTGCCCTGCGGTTATCTACACACACACACACACACACACACACACACACACCTGAGAAAGCTAAGCTTAGCTCGGGTTTAGTCAGGATTCCCTGTTGGGTTTCCGAGACACCGTTGACACAGGACTGATTGTCTGCTTGTGTTTAAAAGTACAAATGTTTTTTTATCCACTTTAGATTCTTTTACTGAGTGAGTAGATGATGGACAGCGGATATTAACCCCATTTTCAGCATTACCGCCATGCCTGCAGGGACATTTAATTTAAAAAGTAACTTGATTATTTAAAAGGCATTTTAACAGGCATTTTTTTCAAAATATTTAGATTTTAGTTGCTGAATTTAATTAAAAATGTATGTTTTACAGTTGTTCTCGAGTTGTTTCGTTGAAATGTATGATGTTTTCAACAAATAAACAAGCAAGTTTGATATACAATGTTGGATAAACAACCATCTAATACTAGTCTCAATATATATTCTTTCTCAAAACCAACAAATCTGTTTCGAAAACTCTTCAACGCAGAATTTTCCTGAATCATATACAACTGAAATGATGTGCAAGTTTGTGGGGGAATGTGTTTGTGCTCTCTCCTAAAAAGTAAAAATGAATATCTGTCTTTGGAAAGAAACTCTGACGTTACATTCAGTCATTCAGTTCGTTTATAAAAAAATAAAAATAAAAGGTTCAGGCTCCACTGCAGTGCTCAGCCAAGTGACACCAACAGGACTAATGAAGCGTGCTCTCATGTCTTGCAGCACTGAAAACATGGACGTGGATGAAAGGAGTCTGTTCAGAAAAGTAAGCGTCACTATTTCACCTGCAGTCAGCCTCCATTTCTGCTTCACAGTTTGTGTAATGTAACGTATGAGAGCCGTCAGGATTATATAGCCTCTTCTTCATTAACTTCGTGACTTCAGTCCAAATAGAATAAAAGCATTGAAGATCAAGCAATTTTAAAGTCATGATTCGTGCTTTTTCTCTCTGTGTGTCTTTGTCTTTCAGCCTAACACCGTCCCCAGACTGTCCTTAATCAGTCCTCCACAAGATGGACGAATGGGTACGAGCTTTGCTCTTCTGGTCGTAAAACTTTAGTTTTTGGTACTCACTATAGGAAGACGTTTTTTTCCGTGTCAAATTTAGCTC